AGTGACACCAGCAAACCTCCCAGCCAGAATATTTGTGCCCCTGCAGTTTAGATGCAACCTGTCCTCCTTGTAGAAGTTTCACCTGCCCAGGAAGAGATACCAATGGTCCAAAATCTGAAACCCTCCCTCCTACACCATCTGTTTAGCCACGTGTTGAGCTGTACTATCTTCCTATTTCTAGCCTCACTGGCATATGGCACAGGGAGTAATTCCAAGATTACAACCTTGGAGGTCCTGTTTTTAAACTTTCAACCCAACTCCCTGAACTGCTGCTGCGGGACCTCCAAGTTGTGCAATTGTAAGGAATTTGTGACAGCTGTGCAATACTCGTGTGTGGGACATCTTGTTCCATGGAGATGCTGTAAAAATCAAAGAAATTTGCCCACAGTTTAAGAGTTAGTGCAAGTCACTTGCCTCTGAATATCCTTAGCCTTTAAGCTGGAATCTGGCATAATCACGGACTTTTGTTATTGTTTCAGTGCAAGTTTTCAAGAAATTTGTGGACGAGTCACAGGTTCAAATGACATCAAAACATGCATAGTACTCCACTCTTTTTTAGCATCATAAAATCATATAAAGCTCCAATCCTGATCTCTAACCAGCAAACTTTAATGTAATCACGAAAATCTCTGACTTGATCATCATTGAAATTTGGAGCCTATGCAGTCATCTATCTGTGCCAAGTCCCAGTCACTATGACACAGAATATAAGAATTAAGAGGAATAGGCAATTCAGCCCCTCGAGCCTGGTTGATCTCATCCCGGTCTCAATTCTGTTTCCTACCTGCTCTTTATAACCCTTCAACCCATTACTCATTAAAAATCTATCTCCTCCTTAAATTTACTCAATGTCTCGGCACACACCACACTCTGGGGTAGTGAATTCCACAGATTCATGACCCTTTGAGAGAAGTAATTTCCCCTCACCTTAGTTTTAAATCTGCTATCCTTATCCCAAAACTTTGATCTCTTGTTCTAGATTTGAAATATCCCTTCTACAGCTACTTTGTCAATCCCCTGTAACATCTTATATACTTCAATTCAATCTCCTCTCATTCTTCTAAACTCCCGAGAGTATTGGCCCAAACTACTCAATCTCTCTTGATACGTCAGACCCTGTTAAGTCTGAAATTAACCTAATGAACCTTCACAGAACTGCATTTGGTTCTGCAGCACATTCTCACACCAGTAAATGTTATCTTTTTTCGCGAAACTGTTGATTTAAAAAGAAATCAAGCCTGCACTGAAGAAAACCAGTTTTTAAACCTAACATTCTGTATTGTTTGACTTTTCTCCACCCATTGAGAAAATACCCAGGCCAAGCATTTAAAATAATGAAATGAGCTTGAAGTATTTTTCATTGCGTGTTCTATTGAAAATTCAATAGGCTTTCAAGGAGTTAGACATAGTTCTTAGGTTTAAAGGAATCAAAGGGGATGGGAGAAAGAAAGAGCAGAGTTGAATGATCAGGTGTAGCAGGCTTGATTCCTGCTCCAATTTTCTATGAATTCTATGAAGTGTTTTGACTGCTCCTATTGGTAGACAGCACCTTTAACTAGGCTACACAATGTGGAATTACTTCTGTAAATCTTTTTCAGCTACATTGTCAACTTTTCGGAAAGCAGATTTCTGTCCAACTCAATCAACACCAATGACACCAGCCACACAAATTCTACTTCATTGGCTAGACATCTGTTTTATTTATGCTGCTACAGTAAGGTGTTCTTAGATAGGCCCCTACATTAGCAGCGTAATATTCTTATTTTGTGGGGAGATTAGTTGCTGTCTTCTATTAGTTTCCACGATTTATTGACTGCTAACTCACCTGAAGTGACTCAGTTGCTGCAATTCCTAACCACTAACATGCATATTGTTGATTTAAAGCTTGTGATAAGACATTAACAATTTGTCTCATTTTTGACATTCTCAACAAAGCTGACCACTACAGCAAGCAAAATTAAAGTATTTCGATTAATGAGCAAACAAGTTATTCTAGGAGATGCTAATGACCATTACCAAGTTTACTCCAAGGCCTTTTTATAACCACATTAAGAGTAAGAAAATTACCAGGGAAAGAATGGCATCTGTAAAGACCCAAGTGGCAACTGTGTATGGAGCTGGTGGACGTGAGTGAGGCCATGACTTAATACTTCTCATCTGTATTCATAAAGGAGGAAGACATTGGAGCTAGAGACATTAGTTGTGATGGAGAAGTTCTAGAACATGTTAATATTAATGAGTAGATATTAAAAGCTTTAGTGGGCATAATGGTGCCTAAATCCCCAGGGCCTGATGAGATGTATCCCAGGCTGCTATCGGAGCCAAGGGAGGAGATTGCTGGGACCCTGGCAGAGACATTTCATACTTTACTGGCTGCAGGTGAAGAGCCAAATGATTGGAGGATGGCTAATGCAGCTCCTTTTATTCAAGCAGGGAAGCAGGGATATGCTAAGTAATTACAGACCAGTTAGTCTGACATCAGTGGTAGGAAAATTATTGGAAAAAATTCTGAGGGAGATCTTGTCTGATTAATTTAATTAGTTTTTTTGTAAAACATCAGTAAATATATTGATAAGGGTAGTGCAGTTGATGTGGTTTACATGGACTTCATTAAGGCCTTCAACAAGGTCCCATATGGAAGGCTGGTCCATGTAAGAGCCTGTGGGATCCCAGACAAGCTGGCAAACTGGATCCAAAACTGGCTTACAAAGAGGAGTAAAGGGTGATAAAGGTTGTTTTTGTTATTGCAAGCTTGTGAATAGCGGTGTACCACAAGGATTGGTGCTGGGACCCTTGCTGTTTGTTACATACATTCACATCCAAGTTGTTAATGTAGAAGGTGTAATAAGCTTGCAGGTGACATGAAAATTGGTGGTATTGTTGATAGTGAGGATGGTCTCAGGCTACAGTCTGAAATTGATCAACTGGTAAATTAGGCAGAGCAATAGCAGATGGAATTTAATCCTGATAAGTGCGAGGTGATGCACGTTGGGAGGTGTAATAAGGGAAGGATATATACAATGTGTGGCAGGTCCTGAAGGAGTACTAGGAACAGAGGAAACTTGGTGTAAAAATTCATAAATCCCCCAAGGTGTTGGCACAGATAGACATAATGGCAAAGATGGTGTACTGGATACTTGCCTTCATTAGGCAAGGCATGGAAAATAGGAACAAGAAGTCTTTTTCAATTTTATAAAACATTGTTGAGGGCACAAATTAAATACGCTGAGCAGTTCGGTTGCCACATTATCGGAAGGACACGATTGCACTAGAGAGGGTGCAGAGAAGATTCACCAAGATGTTGCTTGAGATTAAAAGTCTCAGTTTTGCGACTAAATAGGCTAGTTTTGTTTTCCTTGGAGCAGAGGAGGCTGAGGGAGGATCTAATTGAGGTATACAAAATCGTGAGTAGCATTGACAGAGCAGATCATGAGAATATCTCGCCCATGGCAGATGTGTCTAACATCAGACAGCAGAAGTCTAAAGCAAGGAGTAAGTGGTTTGGACAAAATTGGAGGAAATGATTTTTTTCCCACCAAGAGTGTGGTAGAAATATGGTTTGTAAACATTAGAATGTGGTGGAGGCAAGTATTCTCGCAACACTTAAGCAGCATTTGGATGAGCACTTAAAATGCCAGAGCACAGTCAGCTATGAGCCAAGCGAAGGTAAATGGGATTAGTGTAGTTTGGTGTTTGTTTGTTGGCATAGACATGGTGGGCTGAAGGGCCTGTTTCTATGCTGTAAAATTCTATGACTCTTAAAACAAGCTTTCTACTCAGAGCTTCATCATGGAAACTGGACACTAGGAAATCAGAGAATGCTTCAAAGACAAAGGCTTCGTGAAATAATGTAAATTGTTTACTGGCTCATGGGAGTCTCTTACCCCAAGACCACCACATCACCTGTGTTGAAGTGAACTGACAGATGAGGTAATTGTTGATGTAATACACTCTTCAACAAAAGGAGGTCAATGACTCTGAAGAGGCCAATGAACGCCTGCCTACACACCCACCTGTCTCCTAAGCTGAAGCCACAAAGGTACTCCATGGTTTCACACTGCAGCAGAACAAAACCAAAAATGTTTGATGCTGTGGTAGACTGTAACATACTTGTCCAAAACCGATACATCTAGAAGAAAAAAATTACAGAGCTTTTCCAGAACTAACTTCGAACAATTTTCCTTGCCTTTCATTGTAGAAGGGCAGGTTATCCACCAAAACTGTGAACAAATTGAAAAAAAGAGATTTTTTCACATATTTAGTGCTGCACTGTTTTCATTTTCTAAAAAAATGCAAATTAGGTAACGTAGGGGCTTTCTCAGCTGTGATTCCAATTATCATGGTTTTACTATATACACAATCTGTTAAAATAGGAATGATCAGTTTATAAAAAAAATCCTTGTTCAAGTTATCAAGATATATCCAATATGGTCTGGTTTACAGGCAGTGAATTCTCAATATTGCTTATTGTTGACTCTGCTGCGGATGGATGTTGCACGATCTTGATCAGTGGCTTTGACGTTGTCACCCTCAATTTAGAATCAAGTAGAAGAAATCTGTTCTAAAAACGTCACACAAAATCAGAAAGCAAGCGCTGCAAATGTCTACATGGGAGCAGGGGCACAGAAGAAATTTAATATAAACCCATGAAAGGGCTGTGCTTTTAACTAAACAGGGCAGATACCTCCTTAACGATAACACTTTAGGAATAGTCTTCTTATAAAACCAATTATTCTAGCATAAACTGGTCTAGCTGTTTAGATTCTGGTATTGTTGCAGTACAGAAACATTAGTAACTTCTAGTCTGCTAAACAAAGGTTTACAGCAGTGGCAGTGTTAGCACAGCCCCATCAAAACCTACAATGGAGTCCTCAGTCGACTGTTCCACATACAAACAGCTATCCGACTCTTTGATATTTCAGGAATTGAATGCATTCTCTGAAGAGTGTAACTGACACTCATCCAATCATTCACCTGTGAAGAAAAGGGTAGCCAGAATATTTAATCTTTCAACTAAAACTTTAATAAGAAATCCATTTATTATAAGTTTGCCTTTAACAAATTCAAGATGTGATTTACTTTTAAAAAGGAGCGAGGCAAGCTCTCATTAAGTCTGTGATTGTGCGCCAACAGAATCTTTTCAATAGGGCTGGGAACTAAGGAACACAGTCTTGCTCCTCCTGACTCCATGTTAAAGTCACGGCTTTGAAGAAGTGTACCTGTTTCTCAGCAGCCACTAAAACCTCTCTGGACCATTCCTGCTGTCTGCTTGCAACAGGGCCTTAAAATAGACATTAGGTCTCTCACATGTACAAGCGGCCCAATGCCTGTTTTAGGTAGCCACCAGGGCCACCTAAAAAGCCCTGAAAACAGTAGCAGTGACCCAAACACATGGGCAGAATGCTGACAAATTTGTCATTGTTGTGCCTATTTTACACACAGAATACGTGGGCAATAATGTTGATTTGTTTTCTCCAATTAATATGCGGACATGCAGAGAAGTTTAATTTGAATCACTTCATGTGTTAAAAGATTCATTCACAAAAGAATCCCCTAGGCACAGCCCTAAACCATTACACAGGATGTCATTAGTGACAGCATTAATATTGCTCTGCCATTATTAAAACTATCAGGGAAGACCAGCCAGTAAATGGATGGCTACCTTGCCCTTTGCCAGTACTGTCATTATATTGCTCCCACAAGTAACCAGTTTGTACAAACTGCTTATACATATTTGATATGAGGTTAGTCCTCAGCTCCTGGTATAGTGTTACTGCCATTTCTTGATATGGTCCGTTTTGAGTGGAATAGAAATGCAGTGCCCGAACCACAAGGTAGTTCATGTTAATCCAAATAGGTCCACGCCAGTAAGGCGGGTCATATTCAGTGTTACGTTTCAAATAGAGGGGGTTAGATTTTGAAAGTGACCGTAGGCCATAAGGAGTCCAGAGTTTCTCATCATCCCTGATATCATTTAAGATATGAAGAAGTTTTGGAGAATCAGGCTGCAGAATTTGAAGTAGGAATGGGAACAGACTGACATAACCAAAAGCATTAACATACTGAAGTTTTGGTTGTTTCCGAACAGAACGGATAAGTCTGGCAGGTTGGACATGCTGTCGTGGCTGGCCAGGTGGCACGTAGATTTTCTCTCGCTCTAGAATAATAGACTGAGTATGATTTCCATAATCACTGAATGCTTTCAGATCCTCAGACCAGTGCAGTTCTTGAAGCAAAGAGTTGTCACTCAACTTCTCATACATGTCCTGATAGTCTTGATGGGCTTCTCCTATAATTTTTGCAATATCTGTCATGATCTTTGATGCCAAAGTCATCCAGCAACGAAGATCTACATGGCGCTCATCTTCAGAAGGATGTGATGCCCGCGGGTAATCGTCAAGTCCAGAGGTCAGTGTTTTTGGATTGAGGAACAGATTTGTATCAGTGTCACGACCTCTCCAACGATAGGTTGATGGCAAGGACCCAACTTGGGTTGAATTGTACCAATCATACCAAGTCTTCAAACGGGGGAAGAGTCTCTTCAGATAAGAGTTATCCTCTTTTGTCAAATGTCCATTCAAATCTTCAATTAGCTTTTGTATCGTGAGGAAAAGTGTAGGAGGATTGGCATTTTCATTCCTCTGTACAATAAATTCTGCAGGCACTTTACTACGTGCCTCATTGTCCAGAATCTGCTCCCTTGGTATCCAACCTTCAACATTCATCAGATCTAACCAGTGTCCAATCACCTCCCTACTAATAGATGGATTCCACTTACTGATCAAAAGTTGATGGAACCCTTCATCCCAGAGAAATCCTCGGGGAAAGAATGAACGGGATGGGACAGCAGTGTACAGTGGGCCCTCCAGGTAAGGCAATGGGTACTCATTGTATATAGACTGAACGTAAGACTGACCATAAAAATACCCCATTCCACCAATTGTATTACTGAAAACTGCTTTAGCAAATTTAGTTTGTTGAGGGGAAAAGCCTTTATCTGACAATTTGAAAATGGTATTAAATTTTTCATCAAATGCTTGTTTCCACCTCTCCAGCTCATTTGTGAAGATCTCTCCAGCAAGACGACTGGATCGATCTGTGAAACTTTCCGACTCAAACAGGACTTCGACTTCAAAGGGAACCTGCACTGTCACTTGATGAACTAAGAAGTTGTCTTGTGTTGTGTCCCCACCTTGTTTTGGAGGTGGCCTGTAGCTATCCACACCAATGTAGTACCGTCTGGGAGAAGAAGTCGCTGTGTTGTACACAAAACGGCCGTTCAAGCTGTTTTTCACAATGTCTGTCATCATCTCCAAACTTGGGCAGTGTGCCCGCAAATAATTGTAACTGTTAAAAATGAAGCAGAAGAAACAGGAGGGTGAGAGGTAACAGATAAGTCAAGTTTTCAAAGCTGAAAGGTGGAATGTTCAGCAGTTTTCTGTATCAGTTAGATTTACTGAAGTTCTATAATAGTGCTATGGCAATGGATAGACACCAGCAATAAATGACAAAACATATCTGCAATATATTCTGCAGAAAGGTTTCATTCCTCCTCATTGAAGCTAAAAAAGCTGTATGACTGTTGTTGTATGCATTGATGCATTAGATTTTCCTCTTCAATAAAGAGGAAGAGAAGATCGCAGATTGGTGGGGGAGGGAGAGGCAGGAAGCAGGAGAGATCATAAGAAATAGGCACAGCACTAGTCTGTTTGGCCCCTTGAGTCTGCTCTGCTATTCAATAGGATCATGGCTAATTCACCATTCCTCATTTTCCTGCATCCCGTAACCCTTGATTCTCCAACTAATCAAGAATCTATCTTAAAAATACACAAGGACTCTACTCCCACAGTGCTATGTGGCATAGTGTTCCAAAGATACTCAACCCTCAGCTGAAATTCTTCCCAATCTCAGTCTTAAATTGGCACCTCATTATTATGAGACTATGCCCTCTGGTTCTAGACTCTCCCACGAGGGGAAACATCCTCTCAGCATTTACCCTGTCAAGCCCCTTTAAGAATCCTATATATTTCAATGAGATCACCTCTCATCCTTCTAAACTCTAATTAGTAGAATCTCTACCTGTTTAAATTTCAATCAAGACAAAACCCCCATACCAAGGATCATCCCAGTGAACCTTCTATGAGCTGCTTCTAATGAAATAATATCTTTCCTTAAATAAGGGGACACAAACTGCTCATAGTACACCAGATGTGGTCTCACTAGCACCTTGTACAGTTGCAGTCAGACTTCCCTACTCTTATACATCAGCCCCCTTGAAATAAGGGCCATCATTCCATTTGCCTTCCTGATACTTGCTGCACCTGTGTGCTAGCCTTTTGTGTTTAATATAATAATACATGTCCCTTTTGTGTTGCAGCTTTCTGCAGTTTAACAATGTCCTGATCTTTTCTTCTCACTTGCAAAATGAACAATTCCTCGTTTTCTCACATTATACTGCACTTGCCAACACTTTGCCTACTGACTTAGCTTGTCAATATCTCTAAACTGTTTGTATCCCTCTCGCAACTTGCCTTTCCACCTATTTTTGTATTGTCTAAAAATGTGACTTCAGTGCATTTACTTTTTTCTGCAAAATCATTAATACATATTGTAAACAGTTGTGGTCCCAGCAGTGATCCCTGTAAAACACATGGGTTGCCAGCCTGATAAAGAACCCATCATTCCCAAGTACTGTTTCTTGCCTGTGAGCCAATTCTCTATACATGTCAATATACTGTCTCCAAGATCGTGGGCTCTTATGGCTTCATCTTTTGTGAGGTACCTTGAAGAGAGCCTTCTGGAAGTCCAAATACAACACACCTAGTGGCCCCTCTATCCACTGTAGTTGAGATTTCCTCAAAAAACTTGAATAAATTAGTCAAACACTATTGCCCTTTCAGGAAACTATGCTGACTATATTTGATTAGATTATGATTTTCCAAATGTTCTGCTATTACTTCCTTAATAATTGACTCCAATATTTTTTCAACAATAGATGTTAGGCTAATTGACCTGTAAGTACCTGCTTTTTGTCTCCATCCCTTTTTGAATAGGTATGTCACATTAGCAGTTCTCCAAGCTTTTGGTGCTTCTCAAAATGTTTGTAGCTAACTCTTTTAGGATTGTAGAATGCAAGCCATTAGGCGGGGGAATTTAACTGCTTTCAGCACCATTAATTTGTCTAATATGGGGAATTGATGACCAAGTGGTATTATCACCAGACTATTCATCCAGAGACCCACGTAATGTCCTGGAGACCCAGGTTCAAATTCACCGTAGCAGATGGTGGAATATAAATTCAATAAAAATTTGGGAGTGAGTTTAATGATGACCATGAAAACGCTGCTGATTGTCGGAAAAACCCATCTGGTTCACTAACGTCCTTTACGGGAGGCAATCTGCCATCCTTATCTGGTCTGGCCTACACTTGACTCCAGACCCTCAGCAATATGGTTGACTTTCAACTGCCCTCTGGACAATTAAGAATGGACAAAAAAATATGAGCCTCACCAACCACGTCCACTTTTCCTAAATGAATAAGAAAAGTGATAAATAATTTCCAAAAACTTCTTTCATGATGGTGATGGTACTTAATTACTCCCATGTATTCTTTAGTATTAATGGGATGTTCAAAGTATCTTCCACTATAAAGACTGATACAAAATATCTGTTTAATTCTTCTGCCATTTCTTTGTTCCCTAAAATCATCCCATCAGCTTCATTTTCTAAGGGGCCTATGTTCACTGATCTCTCTCTTCATTCTTATATGTTTAAAGTAGCTCTTATTGTCAGTTGTAATATTCTTTATTAGGTTGCCCCTGTAGTTTATTTTCTGTCTTTATCTTTATAGTTGTCCTTTGCTGGATTCTGAATTTACCCAAGTCTTTAGGGCTATCACTGATGTTTCCTCCTTCTATGCTTTTTCTTTCAAAGTATTTTAACTTCCTTGGTTAGCCATGGTTGGTTTATCCCTCTTTAGGATCTGTCCTCCTTCTCGGGATGTAATTTTGTTGAACATATATTGTGAACAAGATAAAATGAGATTGAAGATGGATATAGATAGGTTGAATGAATGGGCAAAAATCTAGCAGATAGCAGAACTACCTGTATACTCTACAATGTGTATTTCATTAATGTGAACTGGCTGTAACGTGATTGATGAATAGTGGATGCTGTTTGGATAACGCAACCAGTCTGCTGTACAGGTATAGGTGATTTTCTACATCGATTCCCCTATAACACAATTTTCTATGGCAATTTTCTATAGCAGGATTTTCTATAGTGCGAGGTCACACAAGAACACAACTATCGTGTTATAGGAGAGCTACCTGTAATGTGGGAAAATATGAAGTTGCTTGTTTTGACAGGAAGAATAAAAAGCAGAGTATTACTTAAGCAGAAAATAACTGCAGAATTCCAGGATATGAATTTAATTGGATAAAATTGAAGCCCCACCAGAGATCCCTGCAGGACTCCATTCATCCCATCCTCCCAGACAAATACCTATTTATCCAGTCCAATGAAACTTTTCCTGAAATTAGGGAATTTTGGAAAATTAATAACTGTTGGTAGCACAGAACATAAATACTGCTAAAAGGTGATAAGAAGTTGAAGCTTTTCAACCTGCATCCATTACAACAGGACCCCCATGATCTAGTTAGGGAGGGCGCTCCAGGGGTTTAACTCCGACTCTAGAAGAATGGGAATATAATTCCAAGTCAGGATGGTGTGCGGTTTATTGTGGTATTCCCATCCTCTACCCTTGTCTTTCTGGATGGTACTGATCATGAGTTTGGAAGGTGTTGTCTAACAAACTTTGGTGAATATCTACAGTGCATCTTATAGATAACACACACTGCTGTAACTGAGTGTCAACGGTGGTAGTGGGTAGAAAGAATGGATGTAGTATCAGTCAAGTGGGCCGTTTTGTCTGGATGGTGTCAAACCTTTTTTTTAAATTCACAAGTGGGACATGGGCTTTAACTTGATCTCTATATATACACTATACATAGAGGGCATTAGAATTGTCTTGATAGTAACAGTGTGCAAGTGCATGAGGAAAAGGCAGGAGATTAGCCAACATTTATTGCCCATCCCTAGTTGCCTTTGAACTGAGTGGTTTGTTAGGCCAGTTCAGAGGGCAGCTGAAAGTCAATCACATTGCTATGATTCTGGAGTCACATGTAGGCCATACCAGGTGAGGATGGCAGATTTCCTTCTCTGAAGGACATTAGTGAACTAGTTGGCTTTTTTTGACAATTGTCAAAGGTTTATGGTCATCAGTAGATTCTCAATTCCAGATTATTAATGAATTCAAATTCCACCATCTGCCATGGTTGGGGGCGAAGGGTGGAGTTTGAACCCAGCTCCCCAGGATATTAGAGACAACAAGGTGCAGGGCTGGATGAACACAGCAGGCCAAGCAGCATCGTAGGAGCAGAGAGGCTGACGTTTCGGGCCTAGACCCTTCGAAGGGTCTAGG